GGAGGAGGAGCAGGTGGAGGTGGATGAGGAGGAGGAAGAGGAGCTTCTCCTGGTTACCAGCTGGTGGCCAGTCGTGGGCGCCCCGTGGGCTGGGGTGCCCGCCGGGTGGCCGGGTGAGCCCGCCGGGGTTTCGCCGGGTGCCCGGCGGGTGGCCGGCACGTGGCGCCCCGCGGGCGCCCTCGTGCGATGGGTGGGTCCGCCGTGGTCTCGCTCGGTGCCCGCCCGAGGCTGCCTCGTGGGGGTTCCGTGGGCGGGCACTTTCGGCTTGGGGGTCGGCTGCTCCTGCACCCTCCTCCCTCCTGCTCCCTCCTCCTCCACCTCTTCCTTCTCCTCCTCCTCCCCCTCGTTCCTTCCTCCTCCCTCCTTCCCTCTTCCTCCTCCTCCCCCTCCCCCAGAATATGAATGCTACGCTACCAATACCTCTACCCCCTTGCCCGTTTTCCCCGTTGTGGGCCTCCTGGCAGGCCCTCGTCGCCACCACTGAATGCGCCTCGAGATGATAGTCAGAACGCACCCTGGGAGAGGTCCGGGGAGTAGCGGCATCGATACCTTTTGGTTTCCCCAGGGGGGGGTACACACTGGTCGGAAGAACTGGGTAGAAACATGAAGCAGGAAGGCGTTGGAAGTAGATTGAGCTTCCGCCCGCCCCCAGAAGAGCGGGGAAAAGAGAGCCTGGTCGATCCTTTAGAGAAGCTTGCACCACGTGGATTGTACCGCATACCATGCACCGCATGGTTCCCGGAAAGGGCATATGCCCGTGGTTCTCTCTCAGGTTGGTGAGCCTGCCCCCGGTGCCATGTTGGGGGTGGGCCGGCGGAGTCTTTCCCAGATGAGAATCAAGGTCGAGGTAGGCCAGCGGACAAATGTTTGAGTATGTTCCGAGCGAACCGCTGGTTGGTGAAAGCCCGATGGATAAAGCACATAGTAAACTACACATGTTCGTTTGTTGCGGATGCCTCGAACGAAACGCTTATGTTGCAAACATGTCTGAGAAATTCTCAAGCGAAACGTTCGTTTGGGAGAAGCGGAGAGGCCGTTTCTTTCGCCCCAGTCCTTTTCGTTTCAGGGCAGAAAAAGCGTGAAAACACATGGTTCCATTTGGCCTCAGGGCGCGGCAATCGTGAAATCACGTGGGTCCCATTCGCCTCGGGGCAGAGACATGCTGAAAACACGTGGGTGGTTTTCGCCTCAGGGCGGAGCACGCGTGACAATACTCCCTGACGCTTGCTCCGATTTGAGACGAAAGGAGCCCACATGTCTTCACGCTTGTTCCGCTGTGGGGCGAAGAGGACCCACGTGTTTTCACGCTTCCTGCATTCTGGGACGAAAGGGACCCACGTGTTTTCACGCTTGCTGCGCTCTGGGGCGAAAGAGGCCCACGTGTTTTCATGCATGCTCCGCTCTGGGGCGAAAGTCACCCACGTGTTCCCATGTTTACTGCGCTCTGGAGCGAGAGGAACTCACATGAATTCACGCCTGCTGCGCACTGGGTCGACAGGGACCCACGTGTTGTCACGCGTCCCAAATTGGGAGGGGGCACAGAAGCAGAGCGCACTCAACGAATCGGCACTAGATGCATCATCGCTGGGCGCGTCCCGTCTTGGGGCTCTGGGGATGCCTTCTGGGGCTTCCTGGGAGGCCCCACGCGCTTATCGCATTCTGGGGCGAAAGGGGCCCACGTGTTTTCACGCTGTCCTCCTTGGCGCGAAAGTGTCGCATGTAATTTCGCGCGTTTTGGGCTCTGGGGCGAAATGTGCCCACGCGTTTTCAGTTGCTGCGCTGTGGGGCGGCAGGGACCCCGTGTTTCCACGCTTCCTGCGCTCTGGAGCGAGAGGGGCCCACGTGATTTCACGCCTGCTGCGCTCTGGGGCGAACAAGACCCACGTGTTTTCACGCTTATTGCGCTCCGGGGCGAGAGGGGCCCACATGCTTTTACGCGCGTTCCGCTCTGGGGCGAAAGGGGCCCACGTGCTTTCACGCTTACTGAGTTCTGGAGCGGACAGAACCCATGTGATTTCGCGCCTGCTGCGCACTGGGTCGACAGGGACCCGCGTGTTGCCACGCGTCCTGGCCACCCAGGGGCGGTCCCCACCCTCCCAAATTGGGAGGGAGCGCACAGGAACAACAAAACAACGAAACGACACATAGCAAACTCAACGAATCTGCACTAGATGCATCATCGCTGGGCGCGCCTCGTCTTGGGGCTCTGGGGATGCCTCCTGGGGCTCCCTGGGAGGGCCCCACGCGTTTTCACGCTTGTCGCATTCTGGGGCGAAAGGGGCCCACGTGTTGTCACGCTCCGCTCTGAGGCAAACGGGACCCATGTAATTTCACGCATGCTGCGCTCTGGGGCGAAACGCACCCACGTGTATTCACGCTTGTTCCGTTCTGGGGCGAAATGGGCCCGCGTGTTTTCACGCTTGCGCCTCCCTGGGGTGAAACGGGTCCACGTGTGTTTACGCTTGTTCGGGTCTTGAACACAAAAGGGATCCACGTGTTCTCACGTTTATTGCGCTCTGGGGCAAAAAAAAGCCCACGTGCTTTCACGTTGACTCCGCTACGGCTCGAAACTGACCCACGTGCTTTCACGCTTGCTCCGCTCTGGCGCGCAAGCGGCCAATGTGGTGCCACGCTTGTTCCACATTGTCCAGGCGGATCTTGGACATCAGGATTTGTTGAGGGTGCTTCGAGCGAAACGCGGGTCTTTACGTGCCGAGGCCGCCCAGGCAGATCACTAACATGAGTATGTGTCGAGGATGTCTGAGGCGAAACGCTCGCTCTGCAGGACCTGTTGAGGGTGTCTCGAGCGAGGTCCCCCCTGCAGCGAAAGGCTCCGTCTGCAGGATGTGTGCAGGATGTCTCTTGCGAAACGTTGTTTTCCGTTGTTTGAGGATGTGTCGAATGGGGGCCTTGTCGTCGTCTAGGTGCTTTTCGTTTCGGTTCGGGTTCGTTCCTTGATCGGCTCGCCCCATTCCGGAATTGAATCGGGACTTGAGTTCGAGCTGGTTGAACGCCCCGCATGTTTCTCCCCCGCCTGCTGTGGTCGCGCTCGGTTCGTTCCGCTGCGGAAGTGAATGCCTCGGGCAATGGTTGCGGAATTGAATCGGATCTTGAGCTCGAGCTATGCCTTCAGGCAGTTCGAGCTCAAGATCCAAGTCAGTTCGGCCACGATTATGACGCCAAGGACAGCTTGATCCACAATGCAATAGGGCGCGGCACGGTTCAACGCAGCGTGACACGTTGAATTTAGCACAGCAAAGCACAGCACGTCGCAGTACAGCGCAGCCCGTTGCACGGTACATCACGGTAGTTATTATGAGCATTGCCATTGCCCGTCGCGAAAGTTTGACGTTTTGGAAACGATGCCATGCTTCACAAGTTGGCATCCCTTGCCGTGTTCGCGGGTGGATCATTATCCCGGAAGGGGCACGGGCCCAGGATTTTATTGTAGAGGTGTTACCGTTGGTTTGGATTTGAAGGAGGACGGCGGAATCGTTTTTGCGATATTTATCGAGGTAAAGTTTTTGCTTAGCTCAGAAAAAAACAAATGCGATTCGCGCGTGTTCGCTCGAGGAGCATGTGCCCTCGATCTCGGATTCTCCATAGATAACGGGGTCCGCAGACACATGCCGTCCTCCGTGAAGAAACTGTGTGCAGAGCGTTTTGCTCAGAAGCCAGGATAAATCACGAGGTCTGGAGGTTTTGAAACATGTCAGAACATGAAACATAGAGTTTGTGCGTGCCCGCTCGAGGATGGCGCGCCCTGCGAGCACAATCTCTGAGGATGTCTCCTGCGAAACCCCTGGTTTGTACAATTTTGAGCGGCCTGGGCGCCCCAGGACGCCTGGAAGCTCGGACACAGTTTGTTTGTTTGGGAAAAGTGGCCCTGGGAGGGAGGACACAGCGCAATTCACGAGGGAGCGCGGCCCTGGGAGCGCGGACGCAGCGTAATTTCCAAGGAATCGTGGCCGTGGCAGCGCGGACGCAGTATAATTTTCAAGGGATCGTGGCCCTGGGAGCGCGCGGGAGCGCGGACGCAGCGTAATATTCAAAGGATTCTGGCCCTGGGGGGGCGGACACAGCGTAATGTTATTTGGATCTTGTCCCTGGGGGCGCGGACACATCGTAATTGACGAGGGATCGTGGTACTGGTGGCGCGGACGCACTATGATTTACAAGGGATCGATCGTGGCCCTGAGAGCGCGAACCTAAACTAATTTAAAAGGGATCTTTGTTTTCGGAACACGAATTCGGTGCAATCTACCAGGGATCGTGGCCCTGGAGCGTGAATCCTAAGTAATAATTTCCAAGGGATCGTTGCCCTGGGAGCGCGAATCCAGTCTAATTTTCGATGGACCGTGGCCTTGAGAGTGTGACCCCCGCGTAATTCACAAGGGATCGCGGCCCTGCTAGCGCGGACGCCGCGTGATTTATTAGGGATCGGTGTCTCGGGAGCGCGGACGAAGGGTAGTTTACGAGTGATCCTGGCCCAGGGGGAGCGGACGCAGCGTAATGTACGAGAGATCGTTCATGGGTCCGTTGTGCGTTGCCACTTTCTGATTTCGCGATGTCTGGGGGGAAGGGGGGGGGGCAAGCCGCATTTTTGAAGCAGAAAATGGGGCTTCCCTGGGAGCGCGTCCCGGCCCCGCCGTAATGCGTTCGTGTCTGGGTCCGTCGCGTGTGGCTTCTTTCTGGGTCCGCGGGGTTTAAGGGGGGCGATGGTCCGGGGGAGCGAGGTTCGTGGGGAAAGCATGCTACGCATGGAGCGAAGTCTATGATAAGATGAACGATGGAGCTATGTTGCCTCTTTTGATTTTGAGCCGGCTCTGATGCCCACTCATGGCCACCCTGTCCCGTCTTCAGGGACTTCGCACCCCCCTATGATGGTGGGATGGGAAGACGGACCGCCACCCCCTGCACTGCACGTGCGGTGCCGGATTCGTGGGGATTTGCCCACCGTGGCACCTATGATGGGAGTTGCGGAGGGTGTGAGTCCTCATGGCGGTCCTCACTGGTAAGGCCTATGATTCGCCTATGATGGTCCTCACCAGTGGGGGGGGAGAAGGATACCTGAGAAGAGCAGTGAGGGAAATTAAAACCATCGTCCAAACCCAAGTACGAGAGAACCCACTATCAAAAGGAGCGGGCGTTCCACAGGCGGGGAGTCACGCCGCGCCAGCCGCCACCTCGCGTCGTCACGTCCTCGTCCCCCCCCCGCTCCTGTCTACCTTCAGCGTGCGTTCAGCGTATCTTCGCTGATTTGGACACGCGTACCTTCCCCGTACCCTCGGCGTACCTTCAGTAGCGTTCCTAGCCCAAGAACAATACAGCAATACAGAGACCGCGTACCTTCAGCGTACCTTCAACGAGTGTGTCCGACGTACCTTCAGAGTACCTTCGGTATATCCGTAAGGGCTTCGCCCCCTGCCGCCGGCCCCCTCTCTCGGAGAATGGGCCATGGAAGAGCTAAGTCATGAGGCCTTGGCGCTGTCGTGAAGCAGTATCGAAACTTCATGCGAAGCCGAGTCGCAATCAGCAAAACCAACTGATCACAAGAGGGGTTACCACACCTGGCGATTGGTAAGACGTGTATGGTTTAAGGGCTTGGTTACCACACCTTGCGATTAAAGGGCCGAGGGAGTTCTCGCAGTTTGGGTTACCACGCCTTGCGATGGATGTGCGTGAAGGGTGGCACCGAATTTCAGAAATGTGGCAAATCCCCTGTGTTTTTGGACCCTGACCCCGCGGATCTGCGTGAGGGGTGGCACCGAATTTCAGAAATGTGGCAAATCCCATGTGTTTTTGGACCCTGACCCCGCGGATCTGCGTGAGGGGTGGCACCGAATTTCAGAAATGTGGCAAATCCCTTGTGTTTTTGGACCCTGACCCCGCGGATCTGCGTGAGGGGTGGCACCGAATTTCAGAAATGTGGCAAATCCCTGTGTTTTTGGACCCTGACCCCGCGGATCTGCGTGAGGGGTGGCACCGAATTTCAGAAATGTGGCAAATCCCTGTGTTTTTGGACCCTGACCCCGCGGATCTGCGTGAGGGGTGGCACCGAATTTCAGAAATGTGGCAAATCCCATGTGTTTTTGGACCCTGACCCCGCGGATCTGCGTGAGGGGTGGCACCGAATTTCAGAAATGTGGCAAATCCCATGTGTTTTTGGACCCTGACCCCGCGGATCTGCGTGAGGGGTGGCACCGAATTTCAGAAATGTGGCAAATCCCATGTGTTTTTGGACCCTGACCCCGCGGATCTGCGTGAGGGGTGGCACCGAATTTCAGAAATGTGGCAAATCCCATGTGTTTTTGGACCCTGACCCCGCGGATCTGCGTGAGGGGTGTCGATTTCGAGCCCCCCCAGCAATTCAGACAACGCGCCCAGGGGACGCTGGAAAATTCTGTTTGGGCCTCCCCCCCCCCTCGCGCGGTCAATCAACTAGTTACAGTAACCAGCAAGAAGCAGAACTGTAACACTGGAAACTAGAAACTACAACTGGTACAGGAAACTGCGAATCACGGGCCTACAGCCTGGTGGCCCCACAAGGGGGCCGGCGGACTTTTGGCATACCTTCGGCATACCTTCGGCATACCTGCGTAACTTACCAGGGACTGAGCGCGAATCCAGCGGGAGGCAGGTATCGTGGCCGTGGAGCAGCAGACGCAGCATCACTCATTAGTGATCGTGGCGCTGGGAGTGCGGGCCCAGCGAAATGTACGATGGACCGTAGCCCAGGGAGCGCGGACGCAGCGTACTTTACGAGGGATGCCGTGGCCCTTGTCATCTCGACTAATAACGGGGCGCGAAGATCCTAAGAGGCTCCAGGTGATCCGCGGGGCGTCCCTTGGCGCGTCCCGTGCCACGTTCCCTGACGCATTCCCTGGCACATCCCCTGGTGTGTCGCCTGGCACGTTCCCTGGTACGTTCCGTGCCGCGTCCCGTGGCGAGTCCCCATGGCTTGTCGCGCGGCGCGTCCCCTGGCACGTCCCGTGGTATGTACATTGACACGTTCCCTAGCGTGTCCTTTTGGCACGTCCCGCGGTGCGTCCCCATAGCACGTCCCTTGGCGCGTCCCCTGGCGCGTCGTGTGGGACGTTCCGCGGCGCGTCCCCCTGGCATGTCCCCCTGGCATCGCCAAATTACATATTCAATTGAGGTTCTCAGAAGCGGTTGCATACCTCGCAGTTCTCAATATTTTTGGTCTGGGTTCGTGAGTCGATCATGTTTTAACACAGATTTCATCACATAGCCTGCACCACATGGCTTGCACCACATAGATATTATCGCGTATCCTACATCACACAGATTGCACCACACAGCTCGCACCACAGATGTTGCGCCACACACCTTGCCCTTCCACGGTGCAATGAACTCATTGTTTGGGGTCCACGTTGATAAGCACTATCCAGCTTCAGGAGGCAAGCCAGGTCCGGGTGCGCCACATCCTCGTGAAGCACCGCGACGTAAAGGGCGCCCTGGACAAGGTCCGCTCCCGGCCCGTGCGGCGCTCGCAGTGGGAGGCGGAGGATCTGCTGCGAGGCGCGCTGTGCGACCTGGCCATGGTCGAGGGGAACCCGCCCAGATTCGATCCCTCAAAGAGTGGGGCGCTGGCAGGTTCGCCTCACGGGCGGCGCCCAGGGGGAGATGTCGTCGGCGTCGGCTCGGTGTCATCGATCGCGCAAGGGGACCATGTGGGAAACCCTCTAGTGAAACGTTATGAACATAATTGTTCGGCAGAAGAGTAGTCCGCGCGGAGTTTTGGGGTCGGCGCTGGGTCGCGCACCATGCGTTTCTTGTTTTTTCTAGGGTGGTTCTCGTCAGAAGGGCCGGACGTGGCTCCAGACGCCGATCAGGTACGCTGATGTCCAGGAGGGGCCGGGGCTGGCGACCTGTCCTGAGTGGCCTCTCTGGACCAGGGGGGTAGTTCTGTTGGTTGAGCCAAGGTGTGTTGGGTGTTCGGTCGTGGGCCCCTTGTTAGACGCAACCCTCGAGGTTTCGCGGCGAAGACCCTAGAAGACCGCAAGAAGACCACCGAAGACGGCCCCAGGCCGATAGGCATCAAGAGGTCAATGTTCGAATGCGGCAGGTTCCTGTCGTGCCGACGCGTCAGCGACCCCGCCGCTGGCGTTCCAGGTTGATCGACGCCAGTGGCTTAGATTCGGCCAATAGAGCATTCTGGCGATCGGGAAGCCGCCGATCGTTCAAGGTTTAGCGATCCACGCGGCGTCAGACAGAAACGCAGAAACCAACGCCGGGGTCGTCACGACACGAACCTGCCGTACGTGGCTTGTGCAGACGCGGGCGGGCCGAATCGCCCCCCTTGGCTCGTTGCCATATCGCCCGACCTCGCGCGGTCAGGTCGAGGGGCAGCCAAAGAAGTGCTCTGAGCTCTTCACGCAGAGGTGCCGCGAGCTCTCCGAGTGCGCCTCAGCCCTCAAGGGCGGCGAGTTCGCGGGCGACCTGGGCTGGCTGGCGAGGGGCGGGAAGAAGGCCAGCCTCGTGGGAACGGGGTGGGGGTTGGAGCCCTCTGGGGGTCTGAGGTGGCGCAGCACTGGTTCTGGCCAGCAGGCAGGGCGGGCAGGTTCGAGGGTTTGCGCTCGGGGCGGCTTTTTACCTCTTCCGGCCCCTGGGGGCCGCGTTCGGGCCCCAAGACAGTGAAACGGACCTGGTGTGAAATATTGCACCAGGTGGACCCTGAGAGGGGAACGGGCCCCGATTTTGAACGGATCTGGCCTCATCCCCCCTTCCTGACCGATTTTCTACGGTTCCAGCCAGTTCAGATCCCCCCAATATGGAGAGACAGCGTTCGGTTTCGATTCCGATCCCGGTGCGGCGGATTTGCCCTGTTTGCGGTGCGAAGTCTTTCTAGGTTTCCGATTCCGATCCGATTTGATGCGCGCGTTTTTGGTTCCTTCGGTCCGGTGTTTCGCCGATCCGATGTCGAGTTCTTGATCCGATGGAGGGCGGGCCTGAAGAAGGCCAGCCTCGTGGAAGCAGAGATGCAAGGAACGCCAGAGCAGCCGAGACGCCAGGTGTGGTGAGCTTCGCCTGGGGCGACAGGGGGGCAGGGGGGAAGGAGAAGGCAAGGAGGCCGAATATACTGATCATAATGTTTCTAGCTGCGCTTGTAACTATGTACGGGCGGTGAACCGTCATCATTTCTTGGCCGCGGTAAGTTCGTAGGGCATCCTCTAGCTCGCAGGACTTCCGTTCGATATCAACGCGCCCGACCAACAAACATGCACACGTAGTGGCAGCATTGGCAATCGTGTTCGAATCTGAGAAACCGTTATACACAGCAGATACAGCAGTGATTCACCCGTTGCAGCATTATGTCATGATTCGAATATCCTAGACCAGCATCGAATGGCAATAGAAAGTTGATCCTTCCACTTATAGGGTCGATGCTGGAAGTATCATCTCCGCTGCTAGCCTGCAGCTCGAGATCTTGTTATCCAGTCAACCGAGGGGCATATCACAAGCTGTAGTATTGCAGCAGTGTTCGAACAGTAATGCATAACATCGTGGAACCCAATAAGTAAGTTAGTGCACTGTGGATAATGTGTGAGCTACGTTGTGCAACGGCGGGTTGTACGCTACATAGTGCGATCGATATGGTGCAAGTTACGTGGTGAATGCGTTCTGGTGCATAATCGTGAAAGCTATATGATGCAAGCTATGTGAGGTAAGCTACGTTGTTTATGTGTAAGCGCGCCGCTGCACAGCATGTGGTGCACACCTACGTGGTGTAAGGCGTGTCGCGCAGTCTAGGTGGTGTCAGCTGTGCGGCGAAAAGACTGCGTGGCGCAAGCTGTGTGGTGCAAGCAGAATATGGTAGGAGTTATGCTCTGCAGGCCATGCTGTGCAGCCGACGTGGCGCAAGCCAGGCGAAGCCTCGGCACAGCGGCTCGTGGGCGGGCACCGGGCGAAACCTCGGCACGCCCACCCCGCGCACGAGGTGGAGGGTTTCTCCGAAGGGCTTAGGCGACCCGTCCTCCTCCCTCCTCCTCCTCCTCCTCCTCCTCCTCCTCCGTAGCCATTTTGGCTCAAGGCTCATGCTGTTGCGGGCTGAGCCCGTATTGGCATTCACGGATACCGCTAGTCCGCGGCAGTGCCAGAGCGTTTGCGCTCGACGTTTTCGTTCGCCTTCACCGAGGGGTTGGGCTCCCTCACCCAGTTTCGTCGCCACGACTAGGCCGTGCGCTGGTCGGTGGCTTGTGGTTCTCGTGTGTTGCTCTCTGCAATGGGGCCCAAGCAGCGTGTTGAGAACGCGCAGCCTTGGAAGTGCAAGTGGTGCGTGCACAAGCCCACTGGGACGGCTTGGATCAATCGAGCTGATCACAAGTGGTGTGCGCTGTGCAACCTGCCCAAGGGGTCGGCGTTCGGAGGTGTGCCGCAGCCCAAGGTCCCAGTGGTGCGCAGCCCTGCTATGCAGTCTCAGCGTGAGGTGGCCCTCGAGCGTCAGCTTGCCGACCTTCAGCGCCAGTTGCAGCAGCTGCAGCAGCCTGCGGCCGACACTGGCACCGCACCCGCTCCTGTTCCGCCCTGGGCCACTGAAGCCAGTCCTCAGGCTGCACGGCGCACACGGCTGGCCGAGATTGGCAACATTCTCAAGTCCCTGGGGACCGCCGACGCCGACTACCGTGCCAAGCTGCTGGCGGAGCGCACGGCTTTGCAGGAGCAATTGCAGTCCGAGAAGCCACTTGAGAGCAATGTCATTGCCCAGAATCGGAAGGTTACCGGAGCTCGCAAGAAGAAGGCAAACTGTGCTGCCAAGGTCCAGGCAGCAAGGGATGCTGTCGAGAAGGCCAAGGACGCCCTGGCCAAGGCTGAGGCCGCTGAGACCGAGGCGGCCACCAACCTGCTCTCCCTGGAGAACGAGCTTCGAGACATCGTGGCGCGTGGTCTTCCTGTCGGAGGTGAGGCGAAGCCGCCCACGCTCAGTACCGTCATCCCTGGCCTCAAGACAACCGTGTCTCAGCTGGGCGAAGTGCTGCAATCTCTTGGTGGCTCTGAACGTTTCGCTGCTGGCATGCAGGCAATGGCGGAGTTGGTCGCTAAGTTGGAGCAGGAACCAGCAGCAGCCCAGCAGCCACCACCTCCTGCAGCTGAGCCCGAGGACCAGGCCGAGGAGGATGATGAAGAGATGGCCGTCGATCAAGAAGAAGATGCTCACAAGCACATCGACGAAATGGATGCGCCCACTTGTCGTGAGCACCTTCGCAGCTGCGGGCTTCAGGTACCCGCGCCTGGCGATGTGGATGATGACGATGAAGCTCCTGTGCTGCGTGATCGTCTCAAGAGGCACTTGGCCAGCGCCCAGAGCCTCGCCAAGAAGATCAAGGCCACCGCGAAGTGAGCGGCATGTCTCCCATCCTGTTACAGTGTCCATCCTACTTTGCCTCGCAATGATGACGGCTCAGTGCACCAACATGGATGACTCGGACGTCGATCCGTTTCTGGACATCGACGGCCCTAGTCCCGCTCTTTCGGGACACTCAAGTATTTCGGTTTTGTACGGCGAGTTACCTACGTGTGCCACGCCTACGGTGCCTGCGACGGCAGGCTTTCCATCAGCTTTGTCATCTTTGTCGAGTTCGACGGGCTGCGGGCCCCCTGCGAAGGCTGCCCCCCGCCATGTGTGTGAACCCTCGGTAGGCTGGTGTTCTGCTTCGGCAGTGGGCCAGGACCGCCGTGCGAGTTCTCTGGGCCTGGGATCGGCTGGAGGGGAGCCTGCGAGTACCTCTTCGACCTCGGCCACGCGCGGACCTACGAGTACCGCCTCCTCGTCCATACCTTTTGCCTCATCAAGTTCGAAATCCATTAGGCACATGCCGCGTATCGTCTCGCTCAACGGCAGCTCGTTCGGGCCTATCGTCGACTACGCGGTGCAGGCGGAGTGCTCGGTCATGGCAGTCCAGGAGACGCATGTAGACCAGGAGCACTTGGCTGACAAGCAGCACGCCATGCTCGACGCGGGCTGGAAAGGCCTGTGGGCACCGGCCATACGCAGTGATAGTGGCGCTGGCACTACAGGTGGAGTGGCTGTCTTGGTTCCCTCGCACATCACGGCCACGGCCCCGCCGCAGTGCGACAGCCACATATTGATTCCAGGACGCGCTGTGGCCTGCCACGTGCGATGGGGTTTGCCAGGAGGACTTGTGGTCATCTCGGTGTACCTCAAGGATGGCGAGGGACTTGGTGCGACCAACTGCTCGCATGTCTGGGCCCTCGTGCAATACGTGTGCAGGCTGAACGCGCTCCAGATGCCCTGGATCATTTGCGCGGACTGGAACATGGAGACCGACGAGCTCAACAAGTCAGGCTGGATGGAGGCAGTGAGTGCCCTTGCATATGTTTCAGCCCTGCCCAGCTGCAGGCACTCTCAGCCTGGCTCTTTTATTGATTTCTTCGTGGCTAGCAGCATGCTAGCGGCTCGATTGCACAAGCAGGTTTTGGTAGATGAGGAGGCCTCCACTTACCCTCACCTCCCCATCTCCATAGGCTTCGCCGCGTCTGATACCCCGATGTGGGCCAGAGTCCCCGATGAGCCCAAGCCTTTCCCTGCGGTGCCCCCTGTCGGGTGCGCGAGGCCCCCTGTTTACCCTTGGACGGCCGTGCTGGAAGTTGCGGGCCCGAAGCTCTTGGCCCATGGTGATCTCGCGGGGCTCTGGGACCTGGTCATCTCGGGGATCGAATTCGAGCTGTCCTCTAGATGGGACCGCATGGAGGTCTGCTCGTCTGGTGTCTTGGGGAGAGCGGGCCCGCCCAGAACGAGGTGGAAAAAACTGGCGTGGGCCCCCCCCAAGGCTCGCACGTACAAGGACCCCAGCACCAAGGCTTGGGCCACGGCCTTGGGCTGGGCAAAGCACCTTGGTAAATGCAGGCAGTTTCTCGCCAAGGAGGTGGCAGCCCTCCAGGAGTGCGCAGCCATATGTGAGTTGACTCCCAACCAGCATTTCAAGTTACTGCGTGCGCTAGCCGAGGCCTCCAATTTCATGATCAAGGTCGGTGCGTGCAAAAAAGTGCTAGCCAGGCTCGACGATCGTTCTTCCAGTTTTTTCCAGTCGGGGTTTGCCGTCCTGGCCAGAGCGGATTTTGCTGAAGTCCTCACGCATGTGTATCTCATCGCCAAGGCCAAGATAGGGGCTGCCGAAGCCGCCGCGAGCTCTGCCTGGCTGGCCTGGGCCCGAGAAGCCTTTCAGCGAGGAGCTTCTCAGGCCCATAGGTTCAGCGAGGTGCGAGCGGTCCAAGAGGTCATTGCTGCTGGTTCCATGTCCCAACCCTTCCAGCTTGCTGATCAGGAGATGCAGCCATGGGCTGACATCTGGCGGACCCACGGTTGCTCCAAGCTTCCGCTCCCCGATGGGGCCCACGCCTGGCCCCCACTCCCTTGCATCACTGCCTCTGAGGTGGAGGATTGCATCCAGCAGTTTAAGATCAGCACGGCTGCAGGCCCCTCGCGCATAGCGCCCAGGGCTCTGCTCCAC